TAGGAGGGTATGAATTTCAAATCTTCTAGACCGCTTATAATATTATAGTAATAATTTTGACAGGATGTTAATTACAGTTATTTTAGTGGCATCTTTAAACTAATATTTAAATTCGCATATGTGAAAATATGTTCTAGCGCAGTGCTGGGATTTACTTGCACATTTCGGCAGATTTTCAGTTTGGTTCCTGTCCTAACACATTACTAAAAATCATCTTTTATTAAAAATGAATGATTTTTTTGTAGGATAGTGGTTACGAAGAAATATCTATATTTAATAATAATAAAATGCGTCATTATAATTTTTTATATGTACACTGCAGTGCATTAAGTTGCTGGATCATAGTACGGGCCGACTTATCGACGTTCATTTTTTACTTATGTAAATACTATCACTAACTTTACAGAAAAATTGCAAGAGACAAAAATCATTTATTTTCTTCTCATAGAACTCTAAGAATTTTTTCAGAATTTTTTATCAACTTTTTAGTATTGCATTTTCTTTTTTTCAATAAGTCGAGCCGCTATTATGACCCAGCAAATTAATGCACTGCACTGAATGCACAAACGACCTAGAGAGAGAGAGAGAGAGAGAGAACGGAAAAATAAAGAGCAACTGAGAAAGAAATTTAAATAGCAACTTACTTATTTCGCGCATGCGCACTCCATTTTGGCCAACACTAACACCAAAGGTGCTGTAATGTCCGCTAATAAAATAAACATGAACGTACTTCTACTTAGCTTTAAGAGATCGCGCCATACATACAATTTCCGGTGCACTCTGATGAACATGACATTACGTTGACAACAAAAATTCGCTATAATAAATGGAATATTGCCATGATTATGGAAATATATAACTAATTAATGTAATACAATATCTATAATAATACAATAGTTATATTTCCATTTATTTTCATTTTCTTTTCCTCATTAACTAATTAATTAACAACAATCTAAGTTAACAACAAATAAAACAAGAAAAAAAGCTACGAGTTAATAAATGTATCCTTTAATGCATAACAATGCTAAAGACCAAAATATAATAATTTCCAAATATTGAACCCAATGTTATTGCTCACAGAAATATATGTATATAAATTTATACAATACCCTTTTTCTATATAACAATACATTTCTATAATCTTTAGAGATCTAAATTAATAAATAATTACCAAGTAGTAATAAAATAATCAAATTATTCATTAAATCTTTTTTTCTTATCGAGCCAACGTAGGCGACACAAAAGAGTGTCGCGCGCTCTTATCTCTAAGGAGAGATAATTACCTCGAAGGAATTCGTAACATAAACTAAGCACTAGCTTATAGAAGTCCCTTTCGAAAATCAAAATTTAAAATTTCTCAAACTTTATTGAAATGAATTTCACTTTTATTATTGCGACAACAATTGGACATTTACCACAATTATAATTATTCTTAGTATATACGTATATATTATATATCTCCCGTTTAACAAATACTTTATACACATAGTTTAACTCTAATGTTCTAGCTTACTACAATAATACCTAAGTATATTATTTCTGTAATAAACAACGAAACTATTGCCTAGTGGTGAATTGAGCGTTCATAGAGAAGCATACGTATTCGAATTTAAATATATCGGAATTAATCTACTGCTTTACAAAGTAAAAGAAGGAAATTAAAAGAACAAAAAAACCAAAATCTAGAAACAGAATAATTATTTTATTGTTCAAATAGAAGAATAGACGCTCGATTGACTGTCGCTGTACTTTCTTTGTTTTATCCGAGATTCGAAGATAAACCGGTAACTTTCATGGAGCACAGTTGTCTCCGAGCACTCGTTACGTTAAGATGTCCTATTCCACTGTTTCAAACGCAAATCCAATACTGAATCTAATTCTATCTCTCTCATACGCTGTTTCTTGCGCTGATCAACTTCAACTCTAATTCTACTTTATCGTAGATCTGAAAGGTAATTAATTATTGTTATATAGAGTCAAAATAATAAAGTCAAATAGTTATTGAAATAAAAATAAAAATAAGAAAAGAGGGTAAAATCAACGTCACAATTCCATAAACAAATTCATGTATAGTGAGTCTAAAGAATATGTATCATTCTGTAAATTCAAATTCTTATTTCTGTTATTTTATGTGGATCGCTTCCGAAATCAGTCTTTTATTAAGTACCTTTTCCTGGTTTAATATCTTGACATTTTCGCGATTAAAATCATGTTGATGACTAATTCTGTGTTTTGTTATTACGAAATGCTGCGTAGTTCCAATTTATGTGATTTCTATGTTCGTTTATGCGTGTCTTTAAACATCTACTTGTTTGGCCTACATATGATGCTTCACAATCTCAACAATTAATTTTATATATGTATAACGTCTGTGTGAAATAGCTTGGGATGAACGTCTTTATGACCCCTGATAAATCCCTTAAGATTATTAATTCCTTTATATGCCATGTGTATTAAGGAGTCTTTTTTAAAAAATTTTTTGATCTTTTCTAAGTAGTATATAAATAAGATAAAAGTAGTATAAAGGCGATTGTAAAAAACTTGTGATCAATTTTATCTTCATTATTCTCCGTTGTCTTATCCGAAGGTGTGTTACCCTGATTATTTCATTATTTACATTTTTTTGACAACTTCTTTTTGATTTCAGAGAATATAAGTTTCAGTGGACATCCGTTGTTTAAAAAAATTTTAATTATTAATTCGAAGTTCTCTTGATGGTAAATAGGGCTGGACAAAGAAAGAACTCTATCAATTAAACCAACGATTGTTCCTTTTTGGCATAAAGGATTTAGAAAAATAATTTAGATAACGTAGGTCAGAAAAAGTAGGTTTGTGGTACCAATTCTGAATAAGAGAATTTCCTTTTTTAATTAAACTGATATGAGAGAAGAAAATCTAACTTGTCCCCACCTATTTTAATTGTAAATTTTAATCTGGAATGGAATGAATTGAAGGTGTTCATCAGCGTATCAATGAAGCATCATATGCTAACGCAATGTCATCAATATACTTCACCTAAAAAGATAATGAAATTGGAAGTCTCTGTAATGTTTTCATTTCAAGATCTTGCATAACAATATCCGACACAATGGCTGATAATGGTAAACCCATCGGAACACCAAAAGTGTTTATAAAATTTGTCGTTGAAACTAAAAATTGTTGAATTAAGAACTAATTCCAACGCTTTAAAAAATTCACTTTTGGGAATGTTCGTTTTTCTTTCAATGAGATGCCATCTCCTCTCTATGCCTTCAAAAACCAAGTCAGTAGATTCATTTTTGAATAACGAAACCACGTCAAGGGATAAAAGAACTTCGTTGTCAGAGATTGTCAAATTAGAGATGTGTTTAGTAAAAGTGTTAAATAAAAATTGTTCTTGATAAAATTGTTTGCTATTGGTATATTTGTGTAATATGTCATTTAAAAAAGAAGCTAAATTATAGAGAGGATTATCCACTGAAGAAACTACGAAATGGAGATACGAAATGGATCTATCTTGTGTATTTTCGGAAGACTATATGCAAGATGCGCAACAGAGTTAGAAGCGTTCAATTTGTTATAAACAGAATTCTCAATGAAACCTCCGCGCTGCTTCCATCCCTTTAATAACTTCTTAAGTTATGTTATTAGGTGTTGGAATTAATTCGTAGCGTTTTTTAATGAAAGAATGTTATTTATTTCACATGAGCATTAAAAAATACATTAATGAAAGTACTTCCCATCACTTGTAAAACGCTACGAATTAATTCCAACACCTAATAACATTTTATTAACTGAAATGTGTGTTAATAACTTATAAGTCTCAGTATCAAATTATAAAGTTTCCATTTTTTCTACGTATTTCGTCTTGTCCACATTAGTACCACATTACCCTTATCCGCCCTTGTAAAAAGAATATGTGGATTGTTTTTAACAAATGATTTCATTGTCTTGATTAAAGAAAAAATTCTCTTTTCTATGTTAGTCTTACTAACACATGCTTACTTTATTCCCTTGATTAAAGGAAAAATTCTGTTCCTAAATTTTCTAATGTTGAGTAATTTTTATGTCGAAGAATCAGCAACTTGGAATTTACGTTATTTATGTAATTTCGATTTATATTTTATATTGATAAGGACTCAAAGGATCGAAACGTATATTTTATTCGTTTTGTTACATGAAAATAAAGAATTTTCTGTGCATCCGAACAACTGATGTAGGCTCTGATGGGCTTTTACATTTTTCACTAAATATGACAATTGTAATCCTAATTTGAATTTGCCGGGACATGTCGCTTGTCTGTGCTCCTCACCCTAGTTCAGCGTCCTCACTCGGGGCATAACAATATATTGTGTTTACGGCCGATATTCATTGAGTCTTATTTCAAGACTGTCTTAAGACGCTAATGTAGCCTTCTGATTGATTCGTGATTTCTTAAGACCGTACTTAAGATGATCTTGTATATAAGATCTGACTATGAATGCCGGTCATAGTCTGACCTTATATTCAAGTCTTGAATACAATCTTAAGATGTCACGAACCAATTAGAAGGTTGCATTAGCGACTTAAAACATTACTTTAGACGGTCTTGAAATAAGACTCGATTATGAATACCGGCCTATGCGCTTCATGCGAAATCCGGAACGGATATCCTTAAGATGCTAATACGGCTCTCTGATTGGTCCATGACCTCTCAAGCACTAACTTAAAATCATCTCGAATCTTGAGCAACATCTATGGGTTCCGCCCATACAATAGGAGTTTCTTCCACTATAGTCTCTATTCTTCATAGATGAAGAGAAACAGCAAGAGAGGTTTTTTAGCTGAACTTCTTGCACGGTTCATATTTTCTCTTTTTCTCTCTCCTATGTTGAAAAAAAGGAAGAAAGATAACCGTGCAGAAACTTTAGCTAAATAGAACAGACCTAAGGTTTACGTGGATTCATGATATGTTAGCAATGGTTAAAAACACGGCGATTTTCTTGTAGATTTTTCATTTTCATAAGAAAACGCTTGAGTATATTTTTATCAAAATTTGAGTGAACCGGGGTCTTCTCAACATTTATCGAATATTCAAGTTCATTCTCCTTACATTCGACTATAAGTGGTCAATTTGTTATAGCTCTTTTTTGTGCAAAATAATTACAGCGGCTGTTTTCTTGATTCAACCGGAAATCTGATTATTTACAGAATAATCAAAGTTAGTTGAAGTTCACATATAAGGATTTTTTGTTCTACTAATTCTCTTTCGATTTTGATTTGTTCAGTTATTGATTATGACTTATTACAGATTAGCATTATTTCACTGACAACTGCAGACACTTATATATGAAAGATCGGCTTGAAACGGGATAAAGAGATACCAAGAAACTAAACAAAGCATTCGCAAAGTAGATAATCCCGTGAAGCAATATGTACTCGAATCTACGTAACTGGCCAGTCTTCAGTTCACTGGAGCCAAAATTTATTTCCGAGATTCACATGGTTATGGTATTTGGTAATTTATTTTGTTCTCTTTTCTTGTGTATTAGTCTCTTGGCAGTATTATTACTTACCGAACGTTTCAAAACAGGTGAATTGGGTAAAATGGTTATTAATTGTAACAAAGGACAAGAAAGTATACCTGATGAATGACAATCTCCATGCTTTGGAGAGCAGAGACAAAAGCTCTACTATGTTATATCTAAAGGAGATTAAGGATTTGTGTGGAAAAGATATAAAAGACGTTTGCGTATGGCAGGGGATCTCACACTCATGAATGGAGGAGAGGTAAAAATTTGTTAGGAAATTGTACATTGGAATGAACTTTTAATTGATCTTTGTAACATACTTCACTGAAATATATGTATGTAATTCTGTTCATTCCCTTTGAACTAATATCTATATAATTTTCATGAAATATATGAATTTGTTAAATATTAAGTTTCATTCTGGTAATCTTGTGAAAAATAAGTGATAAAATAATTAATGTCTTCCATAGCAAAAAATATAAAAGCATGACTCTATGAATGTATGCTTTATCACAGATAATATCTCTATGATGATACGTAGATTAAAGTAATAATGGCTGTGTTCAGCAGAAAAAGCAGCTTTGCAACTGTTGTAAAATTCCTTATTATGATTGATCTTGTCCTTAATTCCTCTTGATCTAAATGTATAAATCAATAATATTCAAGAATTTTACAATAGTTACAAAGCTGCTTTTCATGCTGAACGCAGCCATTGACATTATAGTGATCTTTTGATAATTTCATATAGTCCATTCACAAAGAGAACGATTACGAGTCCAATGAATTTTAGTCCAGTTTGTGCAAACTGATCATTCATTTTACCTCTTTCACATCACTAATACAAACAAGCACGAAGGATTGCGCTCGAGTTCCTCCTACTACAGTGTATGATTACAACATGTGATTACAAGCTTCACAAAGCATAGTCATTTCATTCACCACCGTAGATGGACTGTAAAGTATAGTGACATCACAACTTGCTTATGAACTTATTGTAAGTCTATTATAACACACTGGTCTAGTTCCGAGAGTTTAAACCGGATCAGAATGTAAGAACCAACTAACTAGTTCCCCTGTCGTTCGACTGTAACAGGAATACTCGACTACAATTGATTGGTTCTTACATTCTAATCCGGTTTAAACTCTTGGTGGAAACTAAGTCACTATGAAGTTTTTTTGCTATGGAAGAGGGGATGCTTATATACAAAAAAATTGATGTTTGAATTTCTCTACTTTATCATTTTTCATTCATGCATCCAGCAATTTTAAAATAATCATCAAAAGTTTTATGAAATCGCCAAATTAATAGATGCATTTATGAGATATTAGAGTTAATGATAATAATGTTTGCAAAAGGTATATTCGTGTGACAACATTGGTCAATTGAAGAATGGAACATTTAATATGGATCTTACATTTACTTTAATAAACATCCCTACTATTCAAGACAGTCAGAACATGAAGCATGTCGTGGACATCGCATACGGCAATAAACATTTCATCATTCTAACCAATAATGATGAAGTAAGTAAACATCGTTGTATGACGACGATAAGCCTCTGTTATCATATAAGTTAAATAATTGATTTGATTAAGGTGTATGCCTGGGAACCAATTAATAGTGGACAGCGTATCTATGGAGTGGGTATCTATGGATTTCCTAAGCTTATTTTATCTAATGTTGGTTGTATCTCCTGCGGTGATAATTTCACCATGGCTGTCACCAAAAATGGCAAGGTATATGGTTGGGGCAGTAACGACGTTGGCCAACTAGGGATAGGTAATGATGAGAATAAAAATATGCTGCGACAGACTATGAGAAACAATACATTTTATAGTGGCCAGTTGGCGACAGTTAGGCAAACTGGGGGAGGCAGCAATTTTGAGAATAAAAATATGACACCGCAGTTGTTGATTGGTATACCGGAAAACCTTATTGTAAGTAATTCTCTTTTCGATAAAGCAGTAAATAAAGAAGATGGTAACAAAGCAAAATAGGATCATTGAGCAGTATTGTTACAGATAAGGTAACTTGCGGATCAAATCACACGCCGGTGCCCACAGACAAAGGGACTATCTACGCCTGGGGTGGAAACAAATTCGGCCAATTGGGGATCGGCAACCAAACTGTACACCAACCATGGTAGATTTATGTTTATCATTATTTTGAAGGAAATAGAATAACAAAAGGAAAGATAAAGCAAAGGTATGATCAATAATTATACCAATCAGATCGGTCAAATGAAAGAGATCAGATGGGTCGACATTGCGGCTCTGAACAATATTAGCATCGCTGTCACTGAAGCAGGACGGTTCTATGTTTGGGGTGATTGCCGCGGTGAATGCATCTCGATCCCAATCGCCACTTCATCCTTCAATGTGCACGACACCTTTGCGCACTACGGGCCGAGCATTATGCACAAACCATTGATTCTGAACGAAAAACTGGATATTAGGATGCTTGGGAATTGCATTCGACGATTCTGTATGTCTTTATTTCGTATCTTTATTTCACATTTTCGAAATACAATGAAACAAATACGATATTGAGAAGGAAAAATGCAATTGAAAAAAATTGAAAAAAAAAGCTTTGAGATTTGTTTTAAAAAGAGATGTTTTTAAACTTTTTGCACAGTTCAACTTTCCTCTTTTTTTCATATTGAAGAAAAAGAAGAAAAAAATGGACATTGCAAGAAGTTCAGCTAAAAAGAATAAGTTTTACTAATATATTTGTGCATACATAGTTATTATCAATATATATGTGTACTCATATAGCAAAATGCTAGTAGTTTATTGACAGATTGGCAGCAAATTTGGTCAGATTTCTATAGTAGATCCATATTTATCCATGTCCGTATTAAGATTCTATCTATCTATATCTATCGATAGAATTTACTGATGTACTACGCCAGTAAATTAACAGAAACCGAATAAGATCTGCATGCACCGGCATCTAATGACAACAGAAATCATACAGAAGTTGCAAAAGTTCTTACTCGATTCCTGCCACCAATATATTGGTAATGCATTTCAATAAGCTTTGTCCTATTTTTGACGGCAGTTTAGCGACATTATCAAATATTACAGACTTTGTGTGAATTTTGTTTAATTTCTCTGATATCAAAAATTGATAGCATATTTTCCTTGAAATCTGTCTCTTCATGTTTGGCTGTTTGGATAATGTTTCCACCCTTATTATAATGAAGTTAAGATTTTATTATTTTCTATTAATACCTTATTTTAACTATGTTATTAGCTTAAGTATTTTCAAAAGTTCTAGAAATTTCTTTCTAAGTAAAAAAGGTATCGAAACTGGGGCGAGTATTTTAATTAGTAGTGTAATAGAGTTTGTTCCAGACTTTAGATAAATGTGACAATTATTTTATATACCATACTATTATAATACGGTATACATTTGTTTCTAATGACTTGTTCTCTCGTTTGTGATATAGTCAACAAACGATCTCAAAATACAAGTGGAGGACAAATGTATCTATGTGCACAAGATTATCTTGACAATTTGCTCTTCATTTTTCAGAAATATGTTTGCGTATGATTGGGCAGAAAATAACCAAAGGTAATAGCTTAATAAATATCAGTGTTATTTATGTAAAATTTTCTCAAGTTTTTGCTCATGTCAACATTCTCTCCCAACAGTCATCAAGGTTGATAAAATTTCCCATGACGTCTACAAAGCATACCTGAAGTATTTATATACCAATACAATCGATTTATATCTTATAAATACCTTTGAGAAGGTATCAGGTAAGTGGAGTTTATTATGAGTGATTATTGACCTAAATATTCATTGGACGTATTCAGTGGTCTAAATTTGAATAACCGCACGTTGATATTGGTATTTTTCTAGATCATTCAATCAAACTTTCAGATCTGAAAGAATATACCAATAATAGCGAATGCTCATTTAACTGTTGAATCCGCTAAATGCGTTAAATATTGAAGCAACGTTTTTTTTTTTAACAGAACTTTTTGATTTGGCCAATGCTTATTATGAGGATAACCTCAAGAAGCAGTGCATTTATAGAATAAAGCAAGAAATTACTGTATCAAATGTCGCCTACTTTTATAACTTTGCAGTGAAGTATGAAACAGAGGTAGTCAAACGTTGTCACTATTAACATTTCATTGTGTATCTTATGTATTCATGTACGTACAATAATTGAATGCTGTTGTAATTTTTTAGGAGCTGAGAGAATTCTGCGTCCGGTTTGCCGTTATTCATATGAGAGCTGTGGTGAAAACAGAAAATTTCGCCAAGCTTGAAGATGAGAAATTGATGAATAGATTTATAAATGAAGTAAGCAAAGCTGGCTGCTTCAAACATTAATTCCTTTCTAGTCGAAAAAAGTGTACATTGCTTTAATTTATTAAGTAGTAATTATACAAATCTTTTACGGAATTGTTGAATCAGCAAGATTTAATATTTAAAATAACATTGGAATTATATCAATATATAAATAATGATTCAATTTTTAAATTATCTGACAAAGAAATCAATTTTAATGTGGAATTTTAATTGTGATTAATTAAGAAATTAGTTTGTAAAGTTCCCTTTAGTGCAAAAAATTCCTTTAGTGCTTAAAGAAGTTGCATTGATTTCGTTATCTTGCATGTTTATTGTTTATTGTTATCAGTCATTTGCATACATTCATTACACTGTTAAAAAAAATCACTTTTCTTTCTCTCCGAAATACATATCATATTCCGAAGATATTTTCTTGATGAACACGATGCCATTAGTAAGATTTGAATAGCACAAGATTTTGAGTTCAATTGAGATGAAATGGGCAAAAAATGACATTTTTTTACTGTTTTCAATATTTTTTACAGCAAAACAAACCTTGTTTCTAAATAAAGTCGAATCTAAAAGTACAATTCAAGAGTTTTTAAATTCTAGAACATGACCATATATCATTTATTTTCATCAAGTTATGACTGTTCCCGTAGATATAAATTCAAAACAATTTCTTATTTTATCGTAAAAATAGAATTTGTATAATTGTATTTTATAATCACTTGCACATATAAATGTATGAATATTACTAAACATACTTTGATTGAAAATAACTTTCTGCTTCCTTATTCGTGTTGAAATACTTGTTAATTCATTTCACATAATATTGGTATAAAAAAATGTTAAAAATAACTAAAAGTGTTATTTTTTCTCATTTCCTAATTTATAAAATCTTGACGCACTATGCAAATTCTGCCAACATCGTGTTCGACGCAGAAAAAATCTTCGGAATATATATTATAATATTTTAGAAAGTATTTAAATGCTGAAAAAAGTTATTCTTCTAGAATTTCTTGCAGAATAATGTAGAATTTAACGCATTCAAAATATAAAATAACAAGTTTCCATGAAAATAAGTTAAATTTTTTATTTCTATAATCGTTTGGAACATTCAAAATAAAATTTGTAATACATATATATATTTTTTTAAACATTTAATTTATATATTTTAATATTATTAATAATATGCAAATTTTGATATTGTCCTTTTTACCGTACATAATAGTGCTGTTTTTTTTTCGTAAATGTATAATTGCAATGTAAAATGTTGGCCAATTAATTGCAAATAATTTCCTGTCTTTAGCCT